GTTTATTAAAGCAGAATTATGAAGAGATTACCCACCCCAATATGAACAACAGCATTACTTACTGATCTCTGAATCTAAGTGAACTTCAGTTTTTCTCTTTGAAAAGGAATGTCTGAAAACTTTTCCCAACACACAGAAGGAAAATGGCAGGTATCTCGGAGCAACCTGAACCAGACTTGGGGAACTCCTCATATACCACATCCAGCTCTTTGTGGTGGGGAAAGGGGGAAATTAGTAACATTTTGAAACTTATTTCAGAAGAGAAAAATCAAGAAATAGAAGTTTAAAAAACTTTTTCTTCCTCCATACTTAACATCTTACACCATTCCTTGTTATGATTTCTGTCTAGATATGTCCTCAAAGCCTCATGCAATAGTGGGGCGACCGGTTTTTTGAAGGTGGCTGACTCTAGAGTTTGTAACTGAGTCAGTTATGGTTGCGAGTGCAACATCTGCCTTAGAGCAGGGAGCCTATATATAATATAAGGGACAGAAAGAGGTTTGCTCCTCCTCTTCCCTTGTTGCTTTTTCTGTTTTTCACCACCATAAACTGTTACTCTCTGCCATGGAACCAGCAGATTATGGACTAAAACATCTACAAACTGTAAGATAATAAACTTTTCCCCTTTTAATTTTGGGTGTTGGGTATTTTTGTCTCCGTAGTGAGAGAAAAGTAACTAAGACATTTGTTCACTCTCTGAGCCACGCATTCTATTCAGAAGCCCTCTTTCAGAATACAAACAGAGTGAACACAAGCAATGTGCAAAGTTCTTGGGCTGTAGCACAAGGTCCTGGGTGTACAAGGTCCTGAGTTCAATCACCAGCACTGAGAAAAAGAAACGCAGAAATAATTATAACAAACTGTGGTCTTGACTAAGTGTTCAACGAAACAGCACCAGGTCAGAATGTGCATGTGAGGCAGATACAAGTCAGGGTAATAAAAAACACTCCACCAACTACCCAAGGCACTGTAGTGACTGGTACCTTTCCTGATGGTTCTCTTAGAACAGCTTTTTAATATTTATATCTTCAGAGATCGCATCAGTCCTGGTACACAAAAGGCACACATACATGCCCTCTGAACTGTATGATCTGAATCATCCAGGTACAAACTCCATATACCTGATCAGACGTATTATGAGTGAGAAAAATTAGGTCCACAGAGACTAAAAGCTGAAGCTCCACCGAGACTGTGATCAGATGTGCCCATGCCCACTCCTCACCTCATTTAGTTGTCCACAGGCCCAAGGGATCCTTTTGTCAGCCTGCAGAGTTCCTACCCATCGTTCATGAACAGCCCTCACACTCAGAGGAGCCAGCCTCTATCATCCCAGCCTCTTCTGAATTCTTTTGAACCCCTCCAACACTTATAATCTGTGCTATATATCCTTGTTTCATGCATCTCTCTTTTCCCTCCTGAAACCGTAAATCCTTTGGAGACAGGGGCATACATGCACGACATCCCAGCTCTCTTTCTTATCCACTGAGCTGTTATTTTCTCTTCTGAGCCTCATTTTCTTGGCCTCTAAGTGGGAAGGGCAATAAAACTTACAGAAGAGGTATCAAGAACCCACGATGACTGCAGAACTGTTTGGTGGAAGCTACAGATGTTGTTCTTATTTTTATATATATGTTTTGAGACAAAGTCTCTCGGTGTAGTTCAAACTAGCCTCAAACACATGGCAATCCTCCTGTCTCAGGCTCCAAAGCGCTGAGATTACAGGTGTGTGTGTCACCACACCTAGAAAACTGCCTTTTATCACCATTAATTTTTTTTTTGAGACAGGATCTCACTGTGGATTCCAGGATGGCCTTGAACTCACTATGTAGACCAGTCTAGCCTTGAGCTTGCAGTGATCCTCCTGCCTTACACTCCCAAATGCCGAGACTATAGGCATGTGCCACCATTCCCAGTTCTAATCATTAGCTTTGCTGTTACTTTATTTCTGTATTCCCCTCCATTCTATCCATTTCCTGACATATACTTTTTGTGTTTATTTCCTCTTTCTTAAAACAGGGTTTTGCTATATAATTCAGGCTGGATTGAATTTACTTTGTAGCCTGGGCTAGCTTCAAACTCGAAGTGATTCTCCTGCCTCAGCCTCCCAAACTCTGGATTACAGGTATGTGTCACCATGCCTGACCATGCTGTTGTGGTTTTTTGGTTTTTGTTTTGTTTTGTTTTGTACTGGAGATCGAACTCACAACCGTGCGTTTGCAAGGCAGATGCTTATGCTGCTGAGCTAAATCTCCAGCCCCATGTTGTGGTTTTTGGGGACAGGGTTTTGCTATATAGTTCAGGCTTACACTCATCTACTGTAGCCTAAGTTACCCTCACACACATGGCAATCCTCCTGCTTCAGCCTCCCAAGTGCTGGGATTACAGGCATGCACCACCACGCCCAGCTTTCCTGGCAAATACTTTAAAAGCTACTAATAATATTCAATATTATTAAAGTCACTTTTACATTTCATAACAAGAGTATAGACCATACATTAGAAACTCATTCTGTCCACTAACCATTTACCTGAACCAAACTGTATGACTGACGATGATATCAACTACACGGCAATGGGAATCCTTCAATATCTTCATGGTCAAATTTCTTATATAAGTGGTGGTCAACACTGGAAGGTTATTTTCCTTTAGAGGTCACAAACTGACCAATTGTATCATACAATGGAAAATCCAACCCAATATTCTGCTGTTAACAGAGACAACTACAATTTACCAAACCTCTGCTGTATTCTAGATACAATATTAATGGCGAAATGTTTTAGACACTGTCACTTGAACCACACTACTCCATGAATATGAAAATCAGTCTTTCTCTTTCCCTCCCTTCCTCCAGATACATAAACTAAGGTTTAAAAGTCTTATACAGTTTCTGGGATCTGGGCTCATACAGTCAAGAAATGGGCTGAGTCAAAATTCAACCCTGATCTTTCTAACAAAAGTATCATGCTTTTCCCACTTACTATATATCTCTATATTCCTTATATTCTGATATTTCCCTTGGTCTAGGAGTGCTGCTCAGTGAACAGTGTACTTACCTAGCATGCACACAGTTCCGGGTTCAGTTGCTAACACTGAAAAAACAGTCTTTCTTAACTTCTACCTTCATCTACATTCTACACTTAATAACCCCTTTGGGATTTTAAAGGTGTGGAGCTTCCCATAATAAGAAGACATACAAAAAATCTCCCTAATTTTATTGACTCCATTACTTGGCTGGAATTTAATACCCAACTGAGAAATAAGTTTTGGTAATAAGGTGGCAGTGAAAGCACTTGAGGAAAGTATGAAAAGAAATGAGAAAGAAGAGAAGAATCTCTTTCAGAGAGATACATGAGTGAACAGCAGGAGATTAGGTGCTGAAAAGGTGGCAGAAGGCTTTCAAGGCCCAGTGTTCATGATGCCTTTAAAAAGACTCTATACCAGAAAGGAAGGAGATTCTTAAATGTCACTTAGCCAACAGTAAGAGTTCTCAACAGCTTTATACAGTTCCTATTAAAGGCTGAAAATTAAGCTGGAAATTTATAAGCAAAGAGGGGGATAAAAAAGTCATTAATGTCCATAATCCCAGCACGCAGGAGGCTGAAGCAGGAGGATCACTGTGAGTTCAAGGCCAGCCTAGGCAAAAAAGTGAGTTCAAAGCCAGCTTGAAATGCATAGCAAAACTCTTCCTCAAAAAGACAAGAAAAAAAGAGATCACTACTGCCTAAACCACTAGGCTCATAAGGATACTAAAGGACCCTGTTTATAAAAGACATTTTACCAGTCCTTTGACCAAATAGAAGGAGCCCTGATTAAAAGAAACTAATCAACATCATTTGCAATACTGGGGATTGAACTCAGGGGCTGGTAAAGGCTAAGCAGGCACTCTACCACTGAATTACATCCCCAGCCTATGAGTTGTTTTAGTAAGGAAACTCCATACAGTGGGAACTTCGGTATTCCTTCACCTATGCTTTGGACTTTCCTCACCAGGATGCTGCTTATCTCTGGTGCCCTTTTCTGGGGTACCCAAAGTCTCTCTATAGGACTGACAGTTCCTATTGCGGGTTTACACACTCTGGATACTGCCAGATACTTTGGCGAATGTAATATAATAGAAACAACAACAGCCAATATGCAGAGACTACCACAAAGAATATCAAGGCTATGAAACTTGAAGGCAACTATCACATCTCACCTTCAAACACCTCTTATGACACACAGAAGAACTTCAAACCACAAGGTCCTGGGGGAGAGTCACTGGTAAAGCTACTACTGGAGTCCAAGTTTCCTGAATCCCAGTAGTGTGTGCTTATCACAGCCTCCCTTCTTTCCTGGAAGACACTGCAGAACTGCTACCCTACTCCATCCTCAAGATAATCACTCTTCCAGAACCCCTCCCCCACTTACAGTCCCTCCTACAGCCTAGCTGAGTTGCAACTCAAATTATCAAGTCTTGGAGCAGGGGGTATTTTCTGGGAGGATAGCCAGTATGAGGGCTGTTGGTACCAAAGAGGAGGGAGAATTATGGAAGGAGATGACATCCCACAAAAAGTCTGGAAGAACTAGGTCTGGACAGCAATGGCAGAAGATTTGTGCGTTGGATATGGATGCACGCAGTGGCATTTCCCAATAGGCCAGGGTTAAGCAGGCCACCAGTTGGCTCCACCTCTAAGAGAGACAGGAAACACTAGGCCCTGACGAACGTCTCCAGGTCCAAGTTGGGCCTCAGGGGCGCCTCCTCGCAGGTCTGGCACCAACACCCATGAGATGACACAGAGGCTCCCCAAGGATGCCCAGTCCACCTGTGAGGTGGCACTGGCACCTGGAAGAGGCCCAGCTCGCACGTGAGGTGGCCCCGGCACCAACAGGGCTCAACTAAAAGGATGCCCGCCCGCCCGTCTGTGAGGTGGCACAGGCGTCGGGCAGAAGACCGCTGTCCTCACCAGTCCGTCACCCGCCGCTGTATCCCACCCGTCCGTCGGCCCCACGAGCGGTCTTACCGAGACACTGCCCCACAGGCGTGCTAAACGGGTTCCCCAGGAGGAACTCCATCTTGGGCAGACCACACAGCAGCGGCCAGGACGCCCGGTCTGTTCCTCGGTCTCGGCTGTACCCCGCCGCTCCGACCTGACTGACACTTGCCCCCACCCCACCCTCAGGAACGCCAAGTGTCGTGCCCCTGACCCCGCCCCCTGGTCGCGTCTTTATTGGACAATGCCTCTAGAGTTCTTCTCTGATTGGGCCTTGAGCTGCTCTCATAAAAGCCCCACCCACCTCGCGACGTCCGATTGGACCTACGAGCGAGCTAGGTCAGAGAAGTCCCCATCAGTCGTAGGGGCACCTCCTTTGACCCGCCTCAGAAGGGAGGCTGTGCATTTTGATTCATCTAGATGTTAGTCAATCTAGAGATACCTTATTATTATTGGACAAAAGATAAGTCAATCGCTCAAAAGGGGACCGGAACGAAGGCGTGCCTAGGAAGTTGCCCACCCATACAAAGTGATGATTGGATAAACGTTTGTTTTCTCTTTCACTGATTGGTGGTTGCAGTGTGGTCATGTGATCCGTCAACTTTCACCCAGGATATCTATCTCCAGACTTCCCCTTAGCAACTGAGTGGCGGCACTTGGTTCCCCAGCAACAGAGAGACCTTTTTGCTGCTGAGAATCAGTCCTGTTCCTAGTACTGAGAAGGTGAGACATGGGAGTTGGGACTCCAGAAGGACTTGCAGTGACAGAGAGCACCTCTTTCCTGTAACCCTTTTGTCTGAGGATGCCGGCCTGGCCCTTCTTATGTGTAAAATGTGCACAAAGGTCCTCTGCCAGCTACTTTACAGTTGTACTGAGAGAGCCAAGGACTTCAGTTTTGGACTTCTCCGATCTGTGTAGGAGAAAACTGCAAAGAGAGCATCTCTTTAGGAAGTGAGGGCCAGAAGGAATCCCTACAGTTCCATCCCCACAGCCTCCTCCCTGAACCGTTTCATAGAAAGATAGGTATCCCTGTCCACTGAAAACGCCGTCTAGAAGTTAGTATTCGTATTTGTCCTCTTAAGTCTCATTATTTGACTCGGCATTGCAAAAAGTGAGTTGGATGAGAATATGAATACTCGGATTCCATGTCAGTCTCTGTCAGTAACATTATTTGAGTTTGGATGTTCCTTCTCATCCCTGAGGTCTCAGTTTCCCTGAGAAATAAGGGCATTAGAAATGCCTTCTTAAATGGCTTTGTACTAATTACTTTCCTCTTTGTAATTAAAATACCCGACACCCCAATTTAAAGAAGGAGAGGTTCACTTTGGCTTACAGTTTCAGAGGAATCAGCCTATGAGTGGCTGGATCCAAGGCAAAAACAACACTGTAAAAGGCCGAGGAGGAGGAGAGCTATTCACATCCTAGTGGCTGGAAGGCAGAGAAGAGAGGAACTGGGGGGACAAGAATAAAAACCCTTCCAGATCAAGCCACAAGTGACCTGTCTTCTCTAACCAGACCTCCTGTCCTAACAGCAGCACACTCAGCTAATGAGTATAGTGCTCTCACGATCCAGTCACCTTCCAGACATGTAAGACTTTTAGAGGACATTTTAGATATAAACCATAACCAGCTTCCATGGCTAATGTGTAATTAAATAATTCATGTGCACCGAGGGCACAGTACACACACTGTAAGTGATTGGTTTTTCTTCTTCTTCGTTTATGGCCAGTAGGGTCTCTTATTTTTCAGATCCAATTAACCATGTGGTTGTTTCCCAGGGAAATACAGATCTGTTCTCTGTGAGGAGGATACTTGACTTATAGGTATGTAAAATTCTCCTGCTTCCCTACCTCCTGCCTCTAATCTTCACTAACAGTGCTGTCATCAGACAAATCAATGGGGACCAAGTTAGGGTGGTAAACTTCAAATAAAGTCCCCGTGGAGAAAGACTGTTTAGGCCTTGTCCCTGACCCAGAGCAGCAGAAGCAACATTATGAGCTATGACAATGGTTATTCCTAGTATCCTGGGTGGAGTCACGATTAGGAAATTTCTGTCATATACTAGGTGTGTAGATTTGGGTGTATTAATTAACCTTTCTAACTAGCTTCTGTTTTGTTTTATGGAAATTGAAATGATTAGTCCTACATATAAAGTAAATTCCTAGAGATGTCTAAAATCCATATCTTACCTCTACCCTTTGTCATCTCTGGCCTGCCTCATCCTCTTGCAATTCTCAGTACTACACCTAGAATGAGCTCTTTAACATTTGAAATCTGATCATTTCACTGCCTTATTAAATCCTACAGGATCCCAGGGATACTAGGATAATAATACAATCTCTGCAAATTCAAGCTTACGTCACTTAGGCCAAATGGACCATACCTTCCCATCTCTAGGCCAAAGTGGACTATACCATCCCATTTCAGGGTCCTCATCATGCAGTTTCCTCTCTGTTTTTTCCTTTTTAGACTTCAGATCTCAGCCCTGTCTTCTCTGGCCAGGCCAGGTACTTTAACATATGCGTTCATAGTTCTCATCTACAAACGTGTCCTGGTTTATAACTAAATATTTATATGATTGTTTGATTCATGTCTGAAACAGAAATAAAGATACTTATCTATTATTCATGGCACATAATATTCACTACACACGTGTAAAGTTACTTTGTGATTGGGAAAGCAAAGGTTTAGACAAGTGTAATAAGTTGCCAAAAGGTACACAGTCAGAATCAGAATCCTGCTGTGGTATACTTAACAGATAAATGTGACAATAGTCCCATATTGCATAGTGTTTTCGTGGCTTGACTGAATGCAAGTTTGATTTGTCACAGGTAATATTGCATAAAGTGGGAAGGATGAGAAGTCAAAGTTTTGAAATCAGAATTAAGAGTAATTTCTGAAAGTATGGTATCTTTTTAAAAAAAAAACAAAATTCTTTGCAGATAATGTCTGCCAAATGAAACATATTAAAATTCCCCCAGAGGGAGCTAGGGATTTAGCTCAGTACCTGCCTGGTAAGTGCAAGGTTCTGAGTTTGAGCCCCAGTGCCCCCCCCCAAATTCCCCCAGAGATAAGTCAGTAGCAAATTATGGGAAACCTTAGGGAAAATCATTTTTGAAGAGTAGGAACTGGTGAGGGCTGGAATTGTCTTTGGGGACTGAATCAGTCATCCTAAGGAGATAGAGCTAGTGTGGAGTGAGGGAGAAAAAAGAGGCCTTAAAGGTCTTAAAGGATGGAAGGCCCAGATGGAGAGGGGACAGAGGTAACAGGTATAGCCATCTGGGGGCAGATAGAGTTAAAGGCATTGGGACATTTGATCAGGAACAGCTGAGGAATGGAGCATGTGTATTTGTAGAAGCTGCATTCAAGTGAACAGTGGGGAGGAAGGAGGAGGATGGTCTTGGAAGTCTCTAAGGCCAGATGAATGACTGTGCAGACCAGCCTCCATTTCTGGGAGGCATCATCAGCCCAACACCAGGAGGCTCTGGAAGTGCTCAGTGGTATGGAAAGTAGAGGACAGAATCTGCCTGGCACCACAGTGAAAAGGACAGAGGTCCAGGGATACCTGATGCTGTGTAGACCTGTGGCCAGAAGCAAGGTAAGAAACAGGTAGAATCAAAATGAAGGACAGAACCTCCAGAGGCCTCGAGAGGCCCAGCAGATTGAGAACATGGTATCCTATAAGGTCCAACTATCTGGATGTTCTCAACAATCAGGTTGGATGATGAGAATGACCTTGAAATGCCCAGCTTCCCAGGGCTGTGACCTGTCCAGTCAGGAATAACGGTCCAGAGTCTGCCTCACAATGTTACTGATACAGTCCACAGATTATCCCCTTTGCATGCAGTGTCTCACCTGAATCCCTTTGGATCCTTAGCAATGAAAACTTCCCAGAATTAGTTTAAATTAAAGAGGAACTAATGTGATAAATCAGCAAACACTCACAGAAGGGGACACAGAAACTTGGATGAAGACTAGATTTAGGGACTTTAGGGACTTCAAAGCCAGCAAAAAGAAGGCAGCCTCTGTCTCTGACTTTGTCTTTCTTTTGTCTTTGTCTTTCTTTTCTGGATCTTCTCTCTGTACATCTCCTGAATCGCCCTCTTGCTCTCTCTGCTTAACCATATGTCTGGCTAGCTCATCCCTCTGTTTTCTTCCCAGTCAAGCCATCAGCTCTGATGGGACATTCTCATTCCATGGGCCCAAGTTCCTACTACTCAGAGGCACGGCACGAATGGCCAGCTTGGGTCAGCACCCATCTGTACACTGGGGGCTGCTTGTTGGAGGGGACAGCACACACGTGACTGCCTACAGGGGTGAGGTGCTCTCAGAAGGGGGCCACAATCTGGTGTACCTGATTTGGCCTGCCGAGGGCATGATCAATTGTTGGTAACCTTCACAATGTACATAAAGATGGGAACACAGAGGCCTCACACCAGGCCACAAACTTCAGGAGCACTGAGCCCATAGGAGACCCAGCATGGACACTACTACGGTGGCCCAGGTGGGACCCCTGCAGCAGTTGTGGGGTAAAGCAATGAACTTCTATGGAAGGGCCCCCCAGTGGTCTCTGGGAAGCCCTAGACCAGCCTTGATGCAAACGTATTAACTCCAAGATTCAGTAGGCTCAGGGTAAGAAGTGAACACCACTCAGGTGACCATGACCACGACGCTGGTCCATGACCCTTCAGTAGGGACCTCAGGCAGAATTTGTCCTGAAACCAGAATGTGATTTTCTAGGTAAGATGAACCGCATCTATAACTCAGTGGAGCCGAGAGTGATGGATGACGACATGCTCAAACTGGCAGTAGGGGAACAGGGTCCCCAGGAGGAGGCCGGGCAGTTGGCCAAGCAGGAAGGCATCCTCTTCAAAGATGTCCTGTCTCTGCAGCTCGACTTCCAGAGTGCGTATCCTGGGTGCCGGCAGTGGCCTGGGCTGAATGGTGGCACCAGCCAGGTACCCTGGCTTTCTCTGTGCCCCCTTCAAGCCCCAGAATTCTGCACAAAGTCTGTGGTCTGGGGACTTCCATCAGCATGAGGTTCCTTGGCCTCTAAGGCATAAGAGCATCTGGAAATTTTTAAAGCCTCACACTTGGTGTTGCTGACATTGGTCCACAACACTTCTGATTCTGTATGAGAACAGAAAAAAAAAAATAGTTGTCCCTCTCCAACTCTAAGACTCACAAGACCGTGCTGTTTCCGTCAACTAATTCCATGGTACTGCCTTTGGAGCAGGAGTCCCTGGCAAGCCTAAGACATAAGAAGCCCCACAAAGCCAATACTGAAGTAGAATGAATGGTTGGGGGAACCAGCACTCTGGGAGCAGTTTTGGTGGAAAGGATAACCAAAAGGGGCCTGCAAACACAAGGAGCACAGGAGTGGGAGGCACTCAGGAATATCAGGACACCCCAGTGGGAAGATATGGCTGGGGACCAGGCAGAACCTTACTGCCTCACTAACCCCATCTACCACGTTTCCCCAAAAATAAGTACCGGAAGTAACCCAAAAGTATAATAAGTACCAGAAGTAACCTGTAAGTATTTCCCCAAAAATAAGTAACCGGAAAATAAGTACCAGTCATTACTATGATGATTGGCAGTGTCATGCAGAAGATTATATCTGATTGTCTTGCTTGGAGGCTACTCTAATGGCAGGCAAGGCAAGAATCCAGCAGTTTTGTGATATCTAGTTTTCCTGTTAGGTCCTGTTTTGGGGAAAACATAGCTATGAAAGGAGATACTTCAGTCTCTGCCTCAACCACTGGTTAGGAGGACAAGTGACAACGTGTATATTACCTGGCTCATGGTGTGGGGCCAGCAAGCTATGGGGGGAGTAAGATGCCTAATACCCCTGTATACTGTGCAGGTAAGGCCAGTGTCCAGTGACCCAGTGGGACTCACATTCCTGCTTTGTCTTGGGCCCTTGGTTGGTTAGGCATCCAGCCAAAAAGAAAGTAGAGTGGGGTGAATTGTTTTCTGTGGTGCCCAGAGCCCTCACCAAGAGGGTAACAACCAAGCAAAGACTAGGAGGAGGTGAGAGAGAGTGTCACATGCAGATGCACTTGGAAAGTGTGTGAGGCAGCGTTAATAGCCAGTACAAAGGTCCTGAAACAGGCCAGAGCTAGCCTGAGGAGGCCCCTGTGAGTTAGGTCAGAGAAGTCTGATTGCAGTCAGCGGGTGTCTACCTCGGAGCCTGTGGGAGGTGTTTGTGTCCTACAGTAAGTACGGTGGGAGCCTGGGAAGGCTGAGCAGTAGCAGGTAAGGATGAGCCCTGAGTTATCACAGGTACCACTGGCTGTAGGGCCAGGACCCTAGTGAGACGGCTGCTGTTATATTCCAGCAAATGACAACATTGGCTGGGACAAGATGCTGGCCAGAAGCAGATTTGGTGTCAGTGCTGCCACACTGGTAACTCACTTGGCGCTAACTGTCAAGTACTTCCTGGTTTGTTGTGCTGTTTGACTTTTCCACATGACCTGCGAGTGCCTTGGGGAGAGCTGGCATGCAGGTGTGTGTGTGGCAGAGCACCAGGTACGTAGGAGCTGCAAGCAGAATTCAGGGAACTGCCACAGCCGGGGGCAAAGCAGGGACAGGGTGCTGTCAATCAGAGATCAGGGCCACGGCAGGTGTCTAAAAAAATCCAGCTAGACATAGGAGGTGTCTGGGAGTCTGCAGCAAGCCTGGGCTCTGCCAAGAAGTAGGGAGGAGAGTGGAGAAAAGTATCAGTCTGGGAAACTGGGCCACCGTCAAGGAACTAGGGAACAGGTTCCAGTGCTACCCAGCCCTGGGGACCCACGGGAGAAGGGGGAACCACCCAGCTCCATGCCAAGGGCAGCAGGATCTCAGTGCCCCAGGTTAGAGAACCCAGGCACAGGGACAGGATTGGAAAGGGTAACTTCCCCCACCTGAATTTTCACAACCTCAGTAGTTTCACAACCTGACTGGCCTCTCTGCATGAATGTTGAAGCTGCCACGCCAAATGTGTGCTTGATGATCCTTGTTCTTTGTTTTGTTTTGATCTTTTGGTGGCACTGGGTATGAAACCAGGACCTCTCACATTACTAGGCAGGTTTCCTATACCTGAGCTACACGCTCAGCCCTCTCAGTGATACTATTTACCCCTTCATGTCTATATTCCACATCTTTAAATAAACATTGTAATTTTCTAAGTTTTGTAAATCACTGTAAAATGAAATACAGAAAAATGGGCATATAAACAATAGAGCTCTATGTGGTTTCTGGGAAAATCTGGGGCATAGGGTTAGCTTTTAGAATTTTACCCTAGTCGTGTCAATTTATTTATGCTTGTGTGTTACTCAGGGCTCTCCTGGCTACCCATGATAAAAGCCTACTTCTGGCTGGCTGATGAGCAAAGAGTTTGGGTTGCTGTGCATCTTGGGTGCATAAGCCTTAGGAGTTGGGTTCCTATCATCTCTGTGATGTTCAGAACCGTCTGCTCTGTTCTATATCGATTTATCCCATGCCCTCTACATGGACAGCTAGGGATACCCCATTTTTCTTCCCTTCATGAGCTATTAGATAGAAAACTACAGATCAAAGGACACAGACATTAACTATTTCAGTAAATGTGGCCAAATGACCTTCCAAAAGATTGAACTAGTTGATTAAACTTCCTACTAGCAGAGCTGCATACTTAACTCTAGTAGCCTATTTCCCAAGGTGGGCCAGCCTCCCAGGGAGCACTCAGCTTGACACCAGAGGCAATGTGAGTGAGTCTCCTACCCTGGACAGGTCCAGCTCAGCCTCTTTCTGCCAGTGGACCCCTTAGATCCTCGTGTAGCTCTGAGTGATACCATTGATCCCCACTGGCACTATACACTAATTGAGACACAATGTTTGTCAGTGCTCATACAACCCATATACTCCGGGGCAGGGTAGGGGAGTGACAGAGTCTTTCTCTCTCTAACCCTAACCCATCTTGGTCCCCTGACCTGAGCCTGATCCCTGGGCTGTTACAGACATCCTCCGCATAGACAATCTCTGGCAGTTCGAGAACCTGAAGAAGCTGCAACTGGACAACAACATCATTGAGAGGATTGAGGGCCTGGAGAACCTCACGCAGCTGGTCTGGCTGGGTAAGGCCTGGGCTCTGTGTATGTCCACCCTAATCAAAGGTGACACCCTGCCAAAGTTGTTGCCTCCCCAAGAGACAGGAATCATGTGTGACACCAGCCTGTTATTAGCCCAGGCACAGCAGAAACTCTGTCTTCCAGGAGGGAAAAAAAATGCTGCTTATTTTTTAAAAAGCCTAAGGCTTATGGTGGCAAAGCACAATAAAGATGTGTTTGGACATCAGGACAGCACGTTCTGCTTTTACCTACCCATTCCCTCAGCCTGGGGCACAAGGAGCAGTTGGTGAACTGGTATTAAATCTAGACACAGTGGACAGATAACTGTTGCCCAGTGGGGTCCAGATCAAACCAACAGTGACCATGGCAGAAGCTGTGTATGCTGAACACACAACCACACACTAGGTGTGGATCTGCATGTTTTCCATAGTAGGCCTTCTGTCCTCCTCATAGGAGCCCCATCATAGAACTGAGAAAACCTAGATCACGGAGAGGAAGCAGGGACATCAGACCCCAAGCCTGGCTCTGACCCTAGAACTCTAGCTTTTATTGCCAAGGCCAAGCTCTGTGTCTGTCTGCTGGTTTCTTAGGAGCCCCTCATATTTGTTGAGGGAGGAGCAGTGAGCCCCCAACAGGGAGAAGAGGGTAAGTCTGAGAGAGCTTTGGACATTTTTGGTTTTTAGCCCTACAACAACATTAAAGATGATATTTGTTACAATTGGAATCCATAATAAAAGAACCAAAGTTAGAAAGGCCAGGGCACTTGCCTAAAGCTACACAACCAACCCCAAAGTTCACGCTTCCTCCATCCTGCCAGGCTGCTTTCTGTTAACCAGGACAACCAGGTGCATCAGAGCGCTTCCCAGTCAAACACTCTCAAATATGTTTGTGCTGACCCTTAGCAACTATAGCAACCCTACAGCCAACATCACGCTGCCCTTTCACAGTTACGGCCAACTGAGGCTCAGAGAAGCTGGCCAGTTTGATGAGGTCATATGCTACAGGTATGAAAACATTTCACAGCCATGTCTTCCAAGTCTTCAACCTAGGTCCAGCCCAGATGCCCCTCACTATGTGCCAGCACCCATTAATGCTGATATCCAGCTAGAAGATCTGTCTGCATTACTAGGAGTCACCTCTCTGCAGGAGCTGAAGGCAGTGTCTCTGAACTTACAGAAGATGCTAGGGCCAAACCTTTACAGGAGCTACTGGGCCTAGCTGTCTCTCAATCATGCATTTCCATAAGAGCCCAGTGTTTGCCCATTCACCCACAGATCTACTTGAATCCGACCATCAGTCCCTCCTAAATAATATTTCTCCTTCCCACTCAATCCAGCTGGGAGAGATTCCACACTGCCTCTCAGAGCTATTGTCAGAGGAGGTGCATATAAGCACTTGATAAACAGGTAAATGCTAAGCAGATGGAAAGCTGTTTACGTAAAATAACTATAAATGTTAGCTGGGTATGGTAGTACATTCTTAAAAGCTCACTACTCTGGGGCTGAGGTAAAAGGATCACAGCTTGGGCCACTAAGTGACTTGATAAGACCCTCTCTCAAAATAAAAAAGAGCTGGGTTGTAGCTCAGTGCAAAGGTCTTGGGTTCAATCCTTGGTAACATATGCACGCACGCACGCACACACACTCACACTTAGGGAAGGGGCCACCCCTATAACTGTCTGCCCCTGACCCCAAGGCTTACTGCCTTAAACCTACTAGTCAGTATTTTTATCTCAACACTGACAGAGCATTGAGATGTCCTCAGTCAGGAGAATGAGTGGCAGAACTTGGGAGCAGGGCACATGTAAGGCTCCAGGAAAGAATCCACACCAGGCTTCTAGAACACACAAGCTATTGAAGAGCAGGTCAATTCCTGGCCCCTCAACTGGCGCTAAATCACAGTATACAATAGCCTTGATGGTATTACTTCAGAACAGTCCCTCCCCTAACCCAGACAGCACGTCTTCAGAGCACTCTTCCCTTCCCAGACCTGTCCTTCAACAACATCAAGGTTATCGAGGGGCTGGACACCCTGGTGAACCTGGAGGACCTGAGTTTGTTCAACAACCGGATCTCTAAGATTGAGTCTCTGGATGCACTGGTCAAGCTTCAGGTGCTGTCACTGGGAAACAACCAGATTGACAACATGGTGAATGTGAGTAGCTAGGCCTTGGGACTTGTATGGGGATCATGAAAATTGTAGGGTGAGTATTCCTGATCTCCTGTTTGTCTGGAAATGTAGGTAACCGGATTATTCCATGGGGAGCTAAATAATGTTTAAATACAATACTTAAACCCACAAAATCCACCTCTAGGTGCCAGTTTGCAACGTTGGTTTTAGTAGGGTCCTTTTTTTCCCCTGCATCTCATGCTCATTTAACAAACATTTGCTAAGGTGAGGACTGGTTGGATGTGGGGCATTTGTCTTATGCTTAGAGGGTACAAAGCATGGACGATGTGTCATCCCTTTAGGGTAAGAACTCATACTCAAATACAGGTGACAGGAAGCCAATGGCCTGAGGAACAGTAAGGCAGGACCCACTGAGGACAGGAAGGCATTCCAGGTCCCAGACAGATCCCAGAGGTGTGTCTGTGTAACAGTGAATATTGGTCATCTTGGGAAAGATGAGCTCCCCCGACTCACCCACAGTGGGCTCACATCAGAGGGTTGGCACTGAGACTCCATCAGTGCCATGAGGGTCTTGTGTCAGGTAACCCAGTAGGGACCTTACTAGACAGCCTTCGTCTGGTCTACATCTCCAACATGCTCATCAATTCTGGTGTTGTCTGGCATCCTTTCAAGACACCTTTTTTTTTTTTTTTGTCTTTTTCATTTTTTTATTGGTACCAGGGATCGAACTCATGACCGCACACTTGTAAGGCAGGTGCTTATGCCGCTGAGCTAAATCCCCAGCCCAAGACACCTTTGTTGCTTAGGTCAGTCTGATGGTCTGGATTACATCTCAGCTGCATGCCAGACTGAGTTAGATGAGCAGCCTACGTGGGTCATGTGTCAAACTATTATTACTGTTTGAATCCGTTTAGCAAGGTCAAAACACAGAGACAGTGTAGTCTCCGAATTTTAGTTGGCATTCTGGAGGATTGAAATCTGAGTAAGGTGTTAGTACTCCATGATACAGTTTCATTTCCTGTCAAATGGACAGAATGTCAGTATCCCACCTGTCCAGCCCCTCACATGAATCAAGTGAGGTACTGAACATAACATGCTTGGCTCAGGGTTGGGCTGAAGCAGGTTCTTCACAAGCAGAGGACCTTGAATGGCTGACATACTTCCTGGAAGAACATCAGGAAACAAGAGGTGACTTGCTTCAGACTCGCTAAGAGATGATGAGAATTTTTCATCCAGCAGAAGAAGGGTTCCTGGGAGGTGAGGATAGCATGAGCAAAGAGCCAGTGGTTACCTGTCAAAGCCCACTTTATAATACCTCTCTCTAAGGGGTTTAGGGTCCTGAGAAGTCCAGGGTGTACACAGACTGGGACTCAGCCTAGGACTTGGGCTCACTGCAGCCAGGGACATGTAGAGAAACACTGGGATCCAGATGGCTTTGTGCCGTGGTATGTTCAAGCCAAGTCTACATCAGGGAGAAACCTACCACAATGAGGATGAGCTTGGAGGTGTAGGGGTCACATGAATGGTGCCTCGGATGGTGTCTCCAGAAGGGGAGCTTGACCTTGAAAGTGTCAGAAAAGCTTAACTCCAACTGTCTAGAACCAGAGGTGAGAATTGTGGGTGCAGGTGGTTTGTGTGGGAAGTGGGAGGAAGCTGGAGAAAGTGGGTGCCACAGAGGCTGTCTCTGCAGGTGATAGGGGCTAAATTCTACTGTACCTCAGAAATATCCAGAATGCTTCCCACAAGTGACCACCCAAGGGTCAGAGCCCCAGGCACTGATTGAAAGTCTTGTCTCTCAACCGCTGGTATTGCTCCTGGGGGATTAGCTCCCTCTAGGTGATGAGACACAGAAAAGCCAGAGAGAGAGCTGGGTGCTGTCAGTGGCAATCATGGCAGCTAAAGTCAGAGGTCGGCCAAGCACTGGCTGTAAACAAAGGCATTTAGTGGCTTGGTTATTGGCACTGCAAAGAGAGGCAGATTGACAATGGGACTTCAAGGGCACCGGTTCCTTCCACTTCTGGGTTCTGCCAAGCTCACCATCTGCCCAAGGTCACTTTCCCTGCAGTCAAGGTTACAGGGTTCCTGGTTTATATCTAGCAGGACAGAGAAAGTAAATCTTCCCTCCTAATAAGGTTAGTCCAATCAAACCATCTGAGCCTCAGTATCCTGGCTAGAGCATGAACGGGTTGGTGGCTGAGGTGAATAGCTGAGAGTATGTTCAACACTCAGCCGTGGTATAGTCTCAAAAGTTTACCCTGCATGCCAGAGAATTTGTTTTTAATTTTTTCCAAATTCATTTTATTTCAAGGAGAAAAATAAAACAATTTCAAAACACATCAATCGGGGGCAACAATGGTACATACATTGCACATTGTCATCTCCAAATCATTCACTCAGAGCACAAAACATCTGCACTCAGTTACCTGAACAATACCAGCACAAATCTTTGTCTTCAGTGAACTCAGAGAAATCAGTAATATAACTATCTTAACTATTTTTATATACATATACATACACACACATATATATATACACATACACATATACATATGTTGTTTCAGCTTCTCATGTGAGACAACACACTTATGAGTATGGTCTCAAATTGCATCCATTTACTATAAAAGTCTCCAAATCATCCTTCTTTATGGCTGAGTAGTACTCCATTGTATAAAAATACCAAGTCTTTTTTATCCATTTCTCAGTCAATGGTCATTTAGGTTGTTTCCAAGATCTAGCTATCACAAATTGTGCTGCTAGAAACATGGGTGCACATATACCATTGTGGTATGATGTTAATTTTTTTGAGAAGATACTCAGAAGGGGAATAGCTGAGTTAAATGAGAACTCTAGTCCTAGTTTTTTGAGGAATCTCCACACTGATTTCCACAGTGGTTGCACCAATCTACACTCCCACCAATAGTGGAGAAGGATTCCTTTTTCCCAGCAGCCCCTCTTCCATTTGTTATTCTTTGATTTCTTTTTTTTTAATTTTATTTAAGAGGAAAAAGAGAAAAACACAAAACAAAACAAAGCGGTGTAAGGGTACACGTAATACAGAACTACAAAAAAAAACATAACAGTAAGAAATCACCTGTTAATAGATTACATATTATCATCTTGAAAATAGTTGCTCAAATCACAGTATCAAAGAATACAAGGTGGACATTCAAACAGGGAGACTGCAAACAACTGTTCAATGATCCAAAAACATTGATATAGTCAGCTATTTAACACCCCTAAACACACTTGCTGTTATATCCGTTAGAGCTCTTTTTCTTTTTTTTTTTTTCTTTTTTTTTCCCTCTCTTTTTTACAACAAAATTTACACATTTTGGATTTTATTACTCCTTAGTGCTTATTACTTTTTTTGGGGGGAGAGAATACAGTCAAATATGGCAAAACAAAGCTGTCAGTCAAAACCAAGGATAGACATAGCACATGGTGTAGAACAGAGTACAAGGTTATCAACAATGGTTATCAACGTTGTCTCTTGTTTCCTTAAAAAGAATTATCTATCTCATTAGATATTATAAAGTTGGACAAAACAGTAGAGAACAAGACCAGTAAAACTTAGGCATTGTAAACATTACAGGACTTCCAAAGAAGACAATAGTCAAACCAGAATGGGTATCTTAGTGAATCTTATTGCCTTCAAAGTAGTTGCCTATATCTTCAAACTTGATACTATCATACAGAATGGGACAGAGTCTAATCAGTCAAAACAAGATTGTGGGAGTATTACAGGACTTCAAAACAAGTTAATAGGAAATCAAAAAGAGTTACTATTTATATATCCTAATTTTATAAATTTTTTCTTTAATTAAGACAAACATAAGAAATGACTAAATAATTTTTTAAAAGAATAAGGGGGAGATTGAGATAAAACAGGACATAACAATATAACAATAGAGGTCAAAGCATGACTGTTTCAGCAACCTAGTACTTCACCACCATATAACCTGACTTAATAGTAGTTACCATAATGTCTGTCTTTTTCCTTGAAATATTTGGATAAAACTTCATATACTCTAGCTTCAAATATTTCCATATCAAGAAGCCCAGAATAAAGCCTTTCTAATTAATGAGTGAAAACTTTATAAGGCTTCAAGGCCACCTAATGGGGAATCATGATTACCACATATTTTTATATATTTGAATCATTACTTACATTAGGGAAACTATTCGGTATTCACACATGCGAGATTGATTTATTTCACTTATGAGTATGGTCTCAAGCTGCGCCCATTTATTGATAAATATCTCGATGTGATCCTTCTTTATAGCTGAATAATACTCCATTGTATAGAAATACCACAACTTTTTTATCCATTCCTCAGTTGATGGACACTTGGGTTGTTTCCAAGATCTGGCGATTACAAATTGTGCTGCTATAAACATGGGTGCACATGTATCACTGTGGTATGATGCTTTCAGTTCTTCTGGGAATATGCCTAGAAGTGGAATAGCTGGAATAAATGGGATTTCCAACCCCAACTTTTTGAGAAATCTCCAGACAGATCTCCACAAAGGCTGTACCAGTCTACACTCCCACCAGCAGTGCAGGAGAGTTCCTTTTTCCCCACAGCCTCTCCAGCATTTGTTGTTGATTTTCTTGATCCTGGCCATTCTTTCAGGAGTGAGATGGTATCTCAGTGTGGTTTTAATTTGCATTTCTCTAATGACCAATGATGATGAGCATTTTTTCATGTATTTATTTGCCATTTGCATTTCTTCATCTGAGAATTGCGTATTCATCTCAGATGCCCATTTTTGGATTGGATCTTTGAATTTTGGAGGTCTGAGTTTCTTTAATTCTTTATATGTTTTAGACAAGAGGCCCTTGTCTGAGAGAGAGTTCACTAAAATCTTTTCCCAGTTTGTGGGTTTTCTTTTCACTATGCTGGAGATTTCTTTTGACATGCAGAAACTTTTTAATAAGAAGTGGTCCCAGTTATTGATTCTGGGAAGTATTTCCCGTGCGGTTTGAGTCCTGTTCATGAATTCTTTACCTACTCCTATGTCTC